AAAACTAATTATAACATGTTCCCTAGAAGGCTTTTAGTAAAACTAAACAGTTAGAGGAAAAGGTCTCAGTACTTGAATCCAATTCTTGGTACGGTATGACCTGCCCTTCCAGGTTTCAGCCAGAACCATTAAGATGTGATACTTTCCTTCTGGGAGATGCAAGGATTTAGTGATCAGCCAAGATGACTCACCCAAAAAGCACAACTGCTGAAGTTTGCATTTATTTTGGTGGTGAAAATAAGAAGGGGGAAAGAAATCTCAAGGAGAAAGCAACAAAAGGCAAAGATCCTTGTTGTCAAGATTAAAGCAGTGGTGTGCAAAACCAATCCTCTGGTGATGCACAGAGCTGAGAGAGGGTGTCTGGGAGCAGGAGCCCGACTCAGCTGTGTGGGCTCATATGTCATTTTAGTTTCATCTCACCCATATTACATAGATGTTTTCTTCTCCATAAAGAACTGATTTAAGTGAAGAGCATGTTTTAGCCAGGCCAGGCACTGCTGATCAGCCAGTGTCCCTTTCAGGGGACCTTTCCCTCCCTTCCTTATCCTATAATTGTTCATAAAAACAAAGACATATTTTTGCTTATCAAAATACCCATTGCTAGCCTTAGACTGGAGTAAGGAGGTTATTGCTGTGCCCAGCTAACCTCTTTCAGCAAAGAAAGTGCAAACATGGCCTTTATTCTGTGCATTTCCTGGAGGAAAGGAGACCGGACAGGAATTCAGATAAGAAAACTAATGCTGTTGCTGTTCTTCATATTCTGTGAAGTATTTTAATGGGGATAACAATCCACATTAGACATCCTGTTCAGTAACGTTTTTAGTACTCAGCTGAGTCCAAATATAAACTATAATGGCATATGGAGACTGTCTTAAGAGCCATTTCAAATCAATTTAGTTTTATATAGTGTCTCTCCAAGTCTCTCAAGGTGATTTACAGTGAAAAAGCAAATAGTGGGCTAGTGATTTAGTAGAGTAAGGCGTGGCAGCTGTCAGGCAGGAAGGCAAAAATGCTGCATGGAGATGCAAAGCTATAATTTAAAAGCAGGACAAAGCTAAATATATCTCTTTGCTCTTCCAGTACAAGAAGCAGCCAGGTAATGAAGCCAGGTTGGGTTCAGTTTAACTCAACTTTTCAATGGAGCACTGAGGTCATTTACAGACAGACCTGGAACCTAAACCTTTTCCACTCAACTGCTGAGATTAGGAAAAAACAGGGAAGAAATATTTGTGACCAATTCATTTTAGCAGTTTTACCATCATATTTCACAACCTCAGAAATTTTAGACTTCCTGTGGGTTGGACTTTTGCCTTATGGGCTTATTAAGTCAAGAAGGCAGCTTTAAGTGCCTTTTTCATGGCAATTGTTAAAGCATAAAGCAAATTGCTTAAAGAAGCAAGACTCCAGTCAAAAAACCTTGACCTTGCTGGTGTGGCAGCCACTGAGCTGCTCCTGTGCATGGAGAAAGAGCAGTTCTGCAGGGAAGGTTTCAAGGGTGTGTCCAGCTACAGGACAACTCTTCTGTGGGTTCTCATTCTCCTGCTCACCACTCAAGTGAAGCTGCTAAGGAAGCCATAAAAATGCTTATATTTAGGCATCCTCAGCATGAAGATCACATGTGCTCCTTACATTTCCCTGCCATCAAACACTCCAGAATGGGCTGGGGGATATGACTGTGTCAGAGAACTCCAGGCAAGAGAGAGGGAATACTAATGTCTTCCTAGGTGAGGACCTGAGCACCCAGAATTGTAGAACAGCTCAGGGTGGAAGGGACCTTTGAATGTTGTCTGGTACAACCTGTCACGGGAAAGGGGGCCTAGATGAGATTATGTAGTGCCCTGTCCAACGGTATCTTGAAAAGCTCCAGGGATGAGGACTCTGCCACATCCTTAGGGAGGTTGTCCCTCTGTGCCACCTCTTTGAGAGGCCTGAACCACCCAGGTTCCCTTCCAGGTGCCAGGACACGCTCAGTATTTGTCATGGCTGTTGCCTGTAGGTCAGGGAGATGGTGGAAGCCCAGCCTGCTTGTGCCATCCCTGGTGTCAACTGGGACAAAACGTTTCTGGCCTCTTGTCAGCTCCCCAGCGAGCACGTGGGAGCAGTTCAGGATGCCAGGGCTGTGAACAGCCTGAATTGTGATCACTTGAAAAAGCACCACCCCACCCTACCATCTTGGCAAGTGTTGGGTTTGTTTAGTGGCCTCGGGGCTGATGCTGGATGTTCTCACCCAGAGCTCTGCAGGTGGGAATTCACTGCTCCCAGTGGCTGGAGTCTGGTGATGGTGCAGTGTGGCACCATGTCCAGGCAGTGACTCCATGAGTGACATGGGCTGTAAGTACTGGTGGGATGCCTATTCACCTGGGAAAGGACCTTCTTGTCCTTTCTGCTGTGCAAGTAGGACATGTTCTATTAAATAAAGTTCATGTTCCCTATGCGAAGGAACGCACTTTAGAATGATGATACACTGACACATTGTATGTTAAATATGTATGACATTTAAAAACCTTAGAAAGAACTAAAAGTCATCTATAAATACTAAAGAGCACGAAGTCTACTTTTTGTTTTCATTTTGCTTCTGATCCTGCACTCTGAGAAAAATACTCTTCACATTCTAAGACTAAATTATCTGTCCAAGAACTAAACCTATAATTTTATTCTATCAGTCAAGCTGTATGTCACACTATTTTTATATTAAGACAATGAGGTTCTTTGAAGCACAGACATACACCCACTTAAAAGAAGTGTTCAGCTGAAAGCAGAAGCCTGTGGAATCAGTGGCAATTTGTGTCTTTCAAGAGACTGATAACTAAATGGAGAAATGCAGACCCTAATGAAAATAAGGTTTCTTTGCTGGCCAGGATGATATTCCATTAGGGTATTTGGGTCCAGATTAATTCCTTTGGACTGCAAGCATCTACCCTGGCTTTGAATCACTGACTTCTACTGGCTTGAAATGTGTCCTTTGGAGATACTTATTTCTCTTTCTTGAAAGAAAGGGCAGTAAGTAATCTGCACTCCTAACTTGAGTACCTTAGTCAGGTATCCAAAACAATATTAGATTAATCCAGGCCTTGCTCTAGTTTTTTAAGCATTCATTGTGTGGGAAAACTGTCAGAAAATCTAGGATTCAACCCACTGTTACGGGACAGTCAACCTCGCCTCTAGGAAGTATTTTCTGCTCTGCAGGGCTTGCATGTTGCTCTGGGAAGATGCAGAAGTTTCTCACTAAGGAAAAAAAGTGCAGCAAGACCAATGCAGACACTAAAGCACCACCACCAGGGAGGCAGGTTTAGATTGCACATGAAGGAGCATGTTGGAAAGGACCACTGGAAGTCATCTAGTCTCCTTCTGCCCAAAGCTGTTAAGGCAACTTGCAAGTACCAGGAAAGTTCCAGGACTGACTGTAAATATGCTGTGCCAATTTTACATACTGAAAAAAACAGGTACAAGTCAAATAAGAAGTACAGGCAGAGAATGGAAACTCCAACTCTGGAGCCCCAGTATTTTTCCTTCCTGTAACACAATTTACCATCCAGTAACCATTTTTTCTGGATGAAGAAGCAACTGTTCTCAGATTGGTCTTCACTGCACATTCACTAAGCTATTCCATGTGCTTCTGACTGCACTAGGAATGGCAGGAGTGCCATGGGACAGCAGTGAGGGGCTGTGGCATCTGGAAACCCTCACCATCACTGGCTGAAGAGAAGCAGTGCTATCCTTCTCTCACTTCACTAGCTCTGCTATCAGCAAAATGCCTTTCCCCATTTCCAGATGGGAACTGGAGCAGTGGGAAATATTTTTCCTCGGTATTTGTCCCTCGTTCCTCCGCTGACAGAGATTTTAAAACAAAAGGTCACTCTGGTGGATTTAAAAAGCAGTGGAACTTCATGCCCCTAATGAATGGGCAGCAGGAACTCGTACTGGCAGTGCTCAATGGCTGCACATGAAACCAGCCAGGCTCAGTAAATGAAACCAGATCCCAAAGTGCAGCCTGAGATAACCGAAAGTATGCATCGAAATTTATTGTAGGAAAATGACCGACTGGAAAAAGAGTGGTCTGCTCTGCCCCTGCACCTCCAAAACACATTGTACCACTTAAACACCCGAGAAAGACATCTGCCAAAAATGCCATTAATTCTCCTGAAGGTCAAACATATTTCTCTTGTAAAACAGTTGAAGCAGCAGTCGTGCATCTTTGATTACTCTTACGAAAGCAACTTAGGAAAAATCCTAGGATTGCTCTTGTGTTTGAAGTCGGATGTTTACTGCTTCCTGGTAGCGACTGTTGTTGCAAAGGTGAAACGCGGTCGGGAAATGATGGTAACCGCCCCAAAACAGAGCCAGTCCCAGTGCAGCCTGTCCCAAATCCCAGCAGCGGATCTGTCTCTCTGTTTGGAGTGCCACCCTGTGGACACGGCTGCTCCCACGAGCTCCCGTCCTGCCCACAGCCCCGAGAGGCAACACTCAGGACCACTGCAGCACCTCCCAGCTCCAAACCCTGCTGGCTCCTGCCAGTCCTGCACGTCTCCGGATGCCCCGGGGAAAACGGTGCTGGGGGAGGAGTGGGAACTTCTGTACCAAAATACAGCGTTACGAAAGACCATGTTTTGCCAGTCCTTTCTACACAACAGTACATGAAATGCCACCACCGCTCCTGAGCTGGACAGGAAATAATTGGGGCATCTGTTGGTAGCACTGAGCTCTCTTGCATTACACCACAGACACAGAGCTTCCCACACTAAGAAACTAGAGAAGTCCCCTGCTTGTCCACAGATGAATTAAGCCCCTGGTAAGCTCAATTTCGTCCTTAGAAGTCAATTTCTGGATTGCATTATAATTTTTGTTGTCTCTGACTATTTGTATAAGACTCGCAGGTTTATTCACTGGAGATTGCCACCATAAATTTTAGAAGTCTGGCTTACAAAGCCTATAACAACCTTGTTTAGCAAAGGTGTGCCTTGCAGCATTCCTTCAGTAATGCCACTTTGGCTGCCCCTTACCTCTGGGGTGAGGTATTTCATCATGATTTCCTTTCCTTTCTCTCCCAGCTTTTCATCTGGAGCAATTTCATATTCCGCCTGGAACAGACATATAAAAAATAAAAGTCAATATTTGCACTCATATTTCACCATTATAACTTCATTTTGGATGTGGCCTTAACAGAACACTCTGTATGAAAAATCCAAAGGATAAATATCATTTTCTGGTGGAAGTAAAACCTCTATACACAGCCTTATTAAAATCCTGCCACTTTATTTTGACCAGATCCTAGTGGTGCATTTTCTGAGGCTGTCTCTCTTAATTAACACCAATACAATTTAATTCATTTATATTTCATAGCCTTGCCAAACCAGCTCTCAGAAAGCGCTCAGTGACAAGAGACGTCAACTTCATTTGGTTTTGCTCAAAAGGAAGGTGGGCACAGAAGGTAAAATTATTTCTCTGAGTAGTAGAGAAAGTGAATGTTTGTTACTCTTGTCACAGTGGTATTTCAAGTGCCAAGTGAACTCCTTCAATATATAGTCTTTTGGGTTGAATGTGTCTCTCCCACGTATTTACGTCTTCCCCTTGGTCCAACAACACTTGTGCAAAGCAGAGACAGACACTTGCCCATCACTTTCAGTGATCCTTGACCCATTCCCTTCGGAAGGCAGATTTTTCAGGATCAAGAGTAAACAAGAGAGGCCATTTAGAGGAATAGACACTATGAGCCAAATTCTCTTTGGCTTCCCTAGTGCATTAAAAAAAGGAGCATCTCACACACAAAGTTTGCCTACATTTTAAAATTCTGACTATCCTATGGATTGTAGCATTACTGACTTTTGATGAGTTTCAGGACCATATTTACAGAACAAACAAAAGAAGCACTATTTGTGCACCACCAAGACATTAATCACTTCAGTTAAAGCTTTGGATCCATGGCAGGCAGTCGAAGGAAACACGTGCTGCATGGGACCCCAGTGGCTAAATAACAACAAGTTCTTAATGACATTCCTGCTTGGCACTGCCCAGGATATAAAGCTTTAGCCTTTGGATTCGAGTATTTTCAAGAAAAAAAAAAAAAAGGAAAAGAAGAGAGCCTAACAGCTTTCATGACTGTATTAAAAAGAGGATCCCAGAAAATCCTGCCAAACCAATTAAATAACCTGGTCCAATACAAGCTGTCTGCAATGATAAATGAGGAGGAAGTTTAAAAAAAAAAAAAAAAAAAAAAAAAAAAAGAAGGTAAATCAGACTGAACTGGCAAACACTTGGAAGAACAAATTTCAGAACTCTTGCCCACTGGAAGATGTATGTACTGCTCCGAGCTGGGTGCAATAAATCTGAAGGCAGGCTGTAATGGATACCCCAGCTAAGCAAACCCAGGAATGACATGGAAACCACAATGTAGTAATAATGCTATTCCCCATCTATCTAGCCAGTGCTCAGCTGGCTATTGCAGCTCCAGTCTGAAGCTGCATATTTACACACACACACAGAGCAGGTTGCTTGAACAATCTGGAATTACGACCTGATTTTGTCTGGGAAATGACAATGACCACAAATAAAAGACAAACCTGTATTACTGATGAAAAATACACTAAAAACTAAAACCCACAAGTACAGTACTTCTCTTTTAGTGACCATTTTGGGGATGAAACTGTTTATGTCCTCATAAAACTTAATATCAGGGTTTAAAAAAAAAATCTTTCATCCTATTTCCTGTCCTTTTAGATGGTATCTGAGTATGGGTCATTTCAGTTCTTAGAGCACAGACACTCTCAAATGTTTACAGCATCTTAACAGCATTTTCCTCTATGATTCCTTGCTAGGGAATAGAGGAATAGCAAGTGAAACAAAAGAATAGATTTTTTTAAAGCTGAAAGTTGCCTCTTATTTGGACCTTACAGTTTATGGTTAGGTTCACAGACAAACTAGATGCTTTTCATGTAAAAGAAAACAGAAATAATGCATTTTAATGAAAGAAAACATTTGTACTTAAATGTAACTGTCTATGCAGAAGACTGCAAAGAAAGGAAAACTGCTTGGCACTGCCTCAGCATGGAAGCACCTAGGAGATCTTCTGAGTCCTCCACTCAATGTTATTTACAATTTATCCAATAACGACAACTTCTCTCTCCTTCATTTGGTTTTAAACTCTGGATCCTGGTAACATATTGGCTTCCTAACAAATAAAACCTGATTGTAAGTCATCATCTGCTATTTGAAGTGCACCAGGGAGATGTCAAAAAATTTGATATCCTTTTTGCCACAGATAACCTATAACATTTACATCCCACCCAAATTGTACAACGGGAAACAAATCAAGACAGTCCAGAAGAAAAAAATTCTGCAGGGATTGGATCAGTGTTTTGAAATACAATTCCTGATGGGATACAACATATGTAGAGCTAAATGCACACACACACACATATATACAGAGTACCTCATTCTGTCTCGAGATAGTTAGGAAGGAATAAAAGGAAAGTTTAATTATACTTGCATTTGACATTCCCAGAAAATGTGACACAGTGGTGGAAGGTGGGAAGTGACAGACAAGTGAGGATGTGAGAAGGAACCATAAGCTCCAACTGTGAACAGTGTTGATTTCACTGCAGTTCTGTACTAGAAGCCTGTTTCATTTTGTTTCTAAGTTCATTATTATTTCTCCCTTCAGTGCCACTTTCAAGCTATTCAGCAACAGATGCTGGTATATTTTCAGCCATGAGCTGTTATTACAGGAGACAGACAGGGATGCCCCCATGCTCCCCCTGCCACCTCCCTGGGAAGCCATCAAGGTCCTCAACTCTAGTCCTATGCTTAAATCACAAGATACATCCCTTTCTTCCACAATACTCAAAAGCACAGCTACAGTTTGCAAATCCCTAATTGCTAGAAATAACAGCGTTACTTAAAATCCACGTGGAACAAAATATTTTCCATTATTCCTTTGATGAATCCAGGCATGTGTTTCAAGGCTCCTGCTCTGAAGTCTAATGGCTTCTCCATGCCCCAGTTAGGTCAGACAGGGCCCTATTCATGGCTCATAAACGAGAGGAGGATTTACGATCACCCTGACTCCATGGGACAGGCTCAGGGAAGGCTCTTTCTGTGGGCAGGGGCAGATCCTTCAGTCCAAATGGCCAGAGGATGTGGGCTGGCTGCTGTTTGCTGCTAACTTTTCTTTTGGCTGCTGTTTTTTTGAGGTAGTACTTACTTTGGTGGCTCCTTCTCCCCTAGGAGCTGAACAGGAGCATTGGGGTGTGAAGCGTCCTTCCCTTTGAAGCAGCTGGTCTTGGGATGGGCTGAGTGGGATTGGATGGGAAAATGCAGTTCAGCTGGGAAAGGGAGAAACATCTAGCCTGTGGCTGGCTGTGGGATGGGGCCATGGGCTCAGGGACAGCTGAGCAAGAGGTTTGGAGGCTGCCTGTGATGGCTGGAGAGCTTCCAGGGCAATGGCACAGGGACCCCACAGGCGCTCGCATCAGCAGCTTTAATGCTGGCACACCAATTTATCTTGTATTTTATTTTCATCTTAATATTGCTTGAGATCTGGAAACTGTGTGGCTTAAAAATATGTGCAAATTGACAAACAGAGCCAAAGAGATGTCTCTGCAGATCTGGGAGGACACTCTCCCACAGCAGGTAGCTGATGGTTGCCTGCAGCAGCGTGACACAGCCACAGGAGTTGTCCCTTGTACCTACCAGGAGATGGAAAGGGGAATAGATACTCCCACCAGAGCAGTTTTGGCTTCTTGGTCAAGTCAGGAGCAGTGAAGTCACCTTCTGAGCACCTACAGAAGGCTACTGGCATTTCAGTCCCAATTTTACACCTCCACTTTCTCAGCTCCCTCTGCTCTTGCTCCTGCTCACTCCCTCCTCGGACTCCAGGCTCTGCCCTGTTATTGCTCTGTCCTCAATGGCTGTCCTTGCACTTGCCTCTGCTGGAGATTTAAAATCTGTGACTAAAAACTGGAAGGCAAACCCCAGACAGCTGGGATTCATAATAACTCACATTTCTAAACGAAAAGTGAACTCGAAACCACATTTTTCATACTTAAAGGCTGGGCAAAAAGAGCCCTTTTGACTGTTTAAAAACACGTTTTGAGTTAATGAGTTTGTTGATATCAACAAACTGGCATTTCTGATGGAAAAAGCCTTGAACAGCTTTAAGACACACATACACAGATGGTTTATACACCATGTAAGGGACTTAACCAAATGAAATCTCCCTAACAGCAAGACAGGGTTTTTATAAATGGCATTAAATGGATGCTCACTCGTCCTTTCACCCCAGATAAGTGCAATGTCTAGTGAAGCGTTCAGCTGAAAAGTCCACTGAGGAGATGTGCCTCTCACCCCAGCCCCTGAGCCCAGATATCATGAGCAGGGGCCATTTTCCTCCAGAGGATGTATTTCTGTGTGACTTCAGTGCAAAGAAATAACATTGGTCAGGTTAGAGAGAAAACAATGTCAGGTTATTTTCTCCTTGACCAAAATGGGCCACGTTCTCCTCTAGTCAATCTAAATCTGGTCTGCATTAAAAGCCCTCCCCCGGAAAAAAAAAATAAATTATACATGTGAGTAGATGAAGCAGGAAAGGGAGTCCAGAAGCTAAAGTCTTCATTATAATGGCACATAAAAATCACAGGAGAGGAGAGGGAAATGTCAGGAGCTGGCACCCCGGGAATGTGCTGTTGAGGAGGGGACAGGAGCAAGAAGTCCTTGCTGAACTGAACTGCTGCTCTCTTGTCCTGGAAGCACTGGCTGCAGAGAAGGAAACGTCTTGCTAGCACATTCCCTGCTCACTGATCTGCCTTTCAGCACAGGAAACATATCCACTCGCACTTTATTTTCATGGCTGTCTTTCAACAGCTCCAAAGTTGTACAATGTCGCTAAAATATTTGTAAGCAGAGCAAAGTGTGCTTCAGGGCTGTGTGTGAATTCCTTGTGAAGGGCTTACGGAGGAGCTGATTTAATCTTAAACCATCTCTGTTTAACAATAGGAGTTTATGTTCATGTAGTTCCTTCATCTGAGTGGCGACATGAGGGTTTGGTGAGCTATCCATGGGATCTTTGTGGTTACAGGCACACAGATGAGTTTAGAGGCATGAGCTGCAGCCATCAGTACTTCTTACTCAATATTTTATCTCTTGGTTTTGATCTCTCATCATCTAATGTCAGGGCCTCCTGCTTACAGACCACGTATTGTCATAGTCTGTGCTACAGCTGGTTGTGAGTTATTACTCAAACACTCTCCTCAGAAAGCAGGTAGAAACTCTGTGCATCTGAGCACTTTCATCACAATTACTGGTTGAAAGTGGCCAAGGTATTCACAGGTTTCAGAGGGAACTGACAGCTACACACCCACACGCACACAGAATTGAACAAGACAAACCCTTTTTCTTCAGAAAGCAGCCTAACCACTGCTGTACTGCACAGACAAAAAACCCCAGACGCTGCCATAATTAGATTTTCAGGAGACTACATCAGACCAGGTTAGTTATTTCACACAACAGCTCACATAAATGTCCAGCCAAGAGGGATTTTTTTTTTTGTCTCTTTATGGATTCTGGTCTGCAAGGTCTGGTTGATTTTACCAGCCTTTGGAAGCACGGGTGTAAGAGAGCTTGCAAAACTTAGTCTTCCATAAGGATGTTGGTGGGTTGTTAAGTGTCTGACTCAGCTTCTGGTTTCTTCCCATAAGTCTTGATCATTCCATTCTTTGCAGGCAGTTGAGTGCATGGGTTAAAAAAAAAAAATGTATTAAAAATGGGGAGACATCAATTACTGGCTTTTGCCAGTGCCTTACTATGTGACCCTGGTAAAGTCACTTAGATGGGCTCTGGAAAAGAGAGGTGGTCCTACCTCTCTATGTGCAAGAAGCTCTGTGAATCTCTCATTAATATTATCCCCTCTTATTTTTTCTTTTTGTTTGTTATTACACAAAAGCTAAGTTTCGCATCTCATGTTAGAAAAATAACTAAGACAAAAGACAGTTAAGGCTCTTGTTTTCTCCTGCTTGGGGCTTGTTACAGCAGGTGGTCCCCAAAAGGTTTCACATTCCTGGTGAATAGGAACGTAAAGTCAGAATAGGGCTGTAAAGTCAAACTTCTGGTCTCATTACAGGAGTTTTTTGCCTAACACAGGGCTTGGCCTGAATCCCACTGCTCACTCAACACAGTGTGACCCTGCTGGGCAAATTTCAGTAGCACTCATCCAATTTAATGGCCATGGGCTGTGTTGTTTGACCTTAACATTGCCTAATGCAGGGATTTTCATGGGCTGGGAGCAAGCCTGTACAGAATCCGAAATCAATAAACAAAGGAGACTGCTGTTAATTAGTGTTAAAAAGAAGAGAGAAAGATAAATATTCAGACCTCCACACAGCCAGGCATTTTGTTCATCAAATCCTCAAAATCCTCCTGCCAGTCTGAGCCTAACTGGGAACAGACCACCAGCCCAGTAAAGGTATACAGGGCAGCTCCAGTCTGAAAAAGCAACATGGGAGTGGGTGTAAAGCACCCCCCTTGCAAAAGGATTTGGGAATATCAGTCTGGCTTTGCTTGGAGACAAACCTTTAAAACAAATCCAGTCCCACCGCCAGCGTTTGCAGGACCAGTGTTGCCTGTGCTGCACGGATGAGGAGAGGACATGGAGTTTCGGTGCTTGTCAGTGCTCCACAGGGCTTTGGGAGAACAAAATGACACAGTGCCCTCAATTCCCAGAGCCCGAGGGTGGCCGGGCAGCCGGCGCGACGGGGAGAGGCGGGAGAGGCTGCGGGAGAGGCTGCGGGAGAGGCTGCGGGAGAGGCTGCGGGAGAGGCTGCGGGAGAGGCTGCGGGCAGCGCTGCAGCCCAGGGGATCACGCGGGGCTCGGGGGGCACCGGGGCCGACAGAGATGTTTGCTTGTGCCCAGATGTTATTGCTGCTGTCAGTGGGATGCCCCGAGTGTGTATGCAGGGCTCACACAACAGGGGCTTGTTCTCTGCAGCCCCTGGGCGCTGCTGGAACCAAAATGTGGTGCCTGCTGCTGAGAGGAGGCGTGAGAAAAGAGCAGAGCCCTGCCAACCCTCCCCAAACTGAGGGTGACGCCGTCGCTTCTGTCTGAAATTAAAACCACTTACAAGTGGCCTTTTGTGACTGTCTCCCCAAGGATTTCTGCAGCTTCCTAGAGGGATGGCCATCACCCACCTCCTCGGGGCTGCAGGTGTTACACCCTGTGTGCCATTTCTGTGGGGTGCCTTCCCCGAGATGGGTGGGTGGTGTCTCATGCTGGCTTGGTGCAGGACAAACACATCCAGGGTACCTGAAGCCCCCTGCTGCCTACTGGCCTTGAGCACAGCTGCATAGAGTGTTTGTCAGATGTTTTGTGTACCTTGGTGGTTACACCTTTCACTGTAGAAAATCACAGCCAGTGCTAAGAATAACAGGTAGAAGTCATGACTGGCTAAAACTGATTGGAATAGGACTTTATCCAACACTTTCTGTGATGTTGTGGATTTGCTGTAGTTACTGCAGTACTGACATAAACCTTAAGAGACCACATGTCCCCTTCCAGACTGTTACTTTTACAACGTAAAGTGCAATCCTCACATCTCCCTATACTTCAGAATACCTTCACCACCACAGTACAAACACACCAATTTTATCCTGTTGGTATGCACTGTTTTGCTTTTCCCTGTCAGTGTTAACCAGGGAGTGAAGCCCCATGGACACTCACACTCAGCAGCGACAAGTTCATCTTCCTCTCTGCTATGATTTAGCTTTTTGGCTGATCAACACCTCCCCTTTCACAGGTTCCCAGCAAGAAAGTCACTGGGAGACTTTTCCACTGTGAACAGCTGGCAGTGCACACGGCCAAGCACTGCCAGACTGGGAAAGAGCGTCAGGTCCCCCCGGGGCTGGGGGGCATTGCTCAGTGGCTCACTGGGATGGAAAATGGAGATTTGTTTCCTAGTGATCTCAATCAAGTCACTTCTATACCTTGTGCCTCTGCTCTCCTATTTGAAAAAACAAGGTAGTTTTCAGGATATCCTTTGTAAATCACCCTGAAGTCTACAGATGAAAAGCCTTGGTAAGAGATATTAGCATTATCACATTCCTCTCTTGTCAGTCCATTCATCACCTTCCCTTTCCTCCCAGTGCCTCCCAGCACTTCAGGCTTCACCCACATCAGAAGACATTACTCACAGCAGCTCAGGAGTTGACATGAAGGGAGGCCACACCAGCACTGGGGGGTACCTGTCCTCATCCTGCTCTGGTGTCCCTCCAGGCTGGCACCAACCCCGCGGGCAGCACTGCCCCTCTACCGCCAGTGATGCTGGGCTGCTGATGGGGCCAGCCCTCACACCCCATGGAACAGGGATTCCTACGGGTCAGAGGAGTCTCCTCTGTCAGGAGAGCATTGGGAAGCACCCCAAAATATCACAAGAATTGACTTACCACCGAGTCAAGGAACCTAATGCAGCACTCGAGCTCGGGTCGAGTTTCACAGAACTGCCGAAAGAGAAGCCTTCCGATCGGCTGCTTTTCACATATGCTGCAGTAATCTCTCTCTAGAGGCAACAAAGAGAAGAAGAGAAGCATGAAAATGAGAAGAGCTTTGTCTTCTGGACTGTTCAGGAGTTTAGAGAATTGCAAATGAGTGCAGAACTACGACCTCAAATCAGAACAACATCCTTCTCCCCTCCACCACATTTCAGGTATCCAAATACAAACATAATTAATGGCTTTAAGACTCAAATAAGAGGGGCTGAATTTTGTGGAACTCATTTTGGCAAAAGGCAAAAGCCATTCAGGTCTTATGAAAAAATAATTCCATATTTTCCTGCAGTGGAAATGTATTCAAAGGTACTGGTGATGTTTGTGAGAACGTGGGGAGCAAATTACAAGACCTTGAAATGTGAGTCATACATTAAAGGGCAGGAAAATCTGTAATTTGTGGAGACCTTCCTGGATGCTTTCTAGATACGCACTAAAGCGCCCCTAATCTGTGGAGATGCTCTGCTCACTCTGTACTAAACAATTATAGTATAAACTATGCATTTTCAAAGGTTTCAAAATTTCTGCTATTTACTTGCTGAGCGTTAAGGAATGGATGGAGCATATGGCATCTGGCTCGTTTCAGTTCCACACAGTACTCCTTATAGAACAGTATTTCCTCTTAAACTCCATGTTTAAATGCCATTCCCCTGTGCTGGTGCATCCAGAACCATCACTTGCAGTAAAGCAAGAGGTCCTTTGCCCATCACAAGGACTATCTGCAGGAAAACAAGGACGAAGGGCAGGCGTCATTAACTGGCATTGCACCAGGACAAATGCTGAGGGCTTTGGATATTTTTCTGGTGAGAGCAGAAAATTCCCCCAGCCTGCTTGGAACAGCACTATTTGCTTGAGACACGTTATTCCTCTAGAAGTACACACATGTCAAACAACATACTGTGTTTCCTTAGGCGTTCTTCTCACCACCCTCCTCGCTGCCATATGGCACTTGCTGTTATTATGGAAACAACCAGCTTCTAAACACATAACACAGCCCTGCAAACAGACATACGAAACCCACACAAGTTGTCAGTGCCTTGGTTACTTCTCTCTCGGGCCTGGAGTGGCTCCTGCAATGTCTTTTATTCCCCCTTTGCCCTTCAGCTCTGTGCACTCCAGGGATGCAGGCACATGTCTGTGATGGAGCTCACCTTTGCCATGGAGGCACCCAGCCAAAGGGCTCACTTATCACAGGTCCCTGGGGATCGTGTTCTGCAAAACCAGGACATCGTAGAATCACGGAATAGTTTGGGTTGGAAGGGATCCTAAAGATCACCTAGTTCCATACCCTTGCCATGGGCAGCAACCCCTTCCACCAGACCAGGTTGCTTGGAGCCCCATCTAACCTGGCCTGGAACACTTCCAGGGATGAGGCATCCACAACTTCCCTGGGCAACCTGGTCCAGGGCTTCACCACCCTCTGAGTACATCTGTCCTGATCACAAAACGCTGTATGAGATGTTGGACTTGCTGCTCTGTGGGACAGGAGGGAAGGAGCACTCAATCTATCCAGAAGGCTGGATTGATACTCTCTTGCAAGTAAAACTGTATTGAAATCAGTGCAAATCCTACCTTGACCTCCAGTCTGTCTAGCTATCAGCAGCTACCCTGCGGCACTGGTTTGTTTGCACGAGCTGGAGCCTTCAGCTCGGAACATCATGACACAGATCCACGTGGCAAGAAAGCCAGTGGGCTTGCTGGGATGTGGAGGAGCCTTGGGGGTGTCCTTGGGAGTGGTGCAAGCTTGTGCTGCTTGACTGAGTAGCATTTCTAGTGAGAAGGTGAAGGGGTGTGCAGACACAGTTAGGGAAGAGTCAGCAGATCCAAACAGCAACTCACAGTGCCCCAAGGGCCAGCACGAAGCCAGAGCCTGAGCAGCTCAGGTGAGCTCTCCTGGGAGGTCTGGAGGTTTAACTACATGTCTGATGATGCTTTCTGCTCCCTTGACTAACTCTTGAGAAGGTAAGAATAAAATATAGGCCCTGCCTGCTCATGGCAGGACTCAATGCCTCCAGGAACCCCAGCCCACAGCAAGCTTCCTCCTGCTAAACAAGCAGAGCAAAGACTGTGACTGTCTGTACTTGTAACAGGAGTAAAACAGAAAGGAACAGACACTTTAATCAGCTGGTTTGCTCTACATTTTCTCTTGTACAGCACTATTTGATACACAGCGACAACGCTCGTTGTACAGAATGCAGTCAGCTTATCAGAGGTGTTTGACATGGTGACACTCACTGCAGCAGAGGATGATCCTCTCACAAAAGGGCCAGTGATACCAGCCAAATGAGCGTGCAAATTGCACATCCATAACTGCACTTCACAGCACAGCAGGAAAAGAAAACCAGCAGCTAAACACTATGACATATGTGGGTAAATGCACCATAAAGAAGACGTGAGCACAGACTTCCTCCTATGGCACAGAACTTGGCCAGCACGTGAGGGGGTGATTCGTTTGCCATGAGGAAAAAGGAAATACCAGAAATAATCTCTGAAAACACAACAGCCAGAGCAGTCCCCTGGAGCCATCACTCCTCCGTCATGTGCATGTAACTGCTGGATATACCAACACAGACAATAAACACGGGATGAAAATGCTTTCATTCCTTGTAGGTGACACAAACTATTTTCTTAGGCCCCGATCTCACTGTTGGCCTCACTAAATCAGCTAAAGCAGTCTGTGCTCAACTAATTCTTGGGATGCATGGGCCCAGAGTGGACAGAGAAAGAAAAACATCTCTCCCAGCTAAAGCTGAAAAAAGGAGTGGGTAGTTTTACTAGGGTAAGGAAAGCAGGAGTGTTTTAACAGCATGCTGCACCCCAGGGACCTGGCTGAAGCACCCCCAGCCGTGCTCAGGAGCTGCTGCAGGAGGGGAAGGATGGGGAGGCTGGTGGGTACCACAGCCAGGGGCTCTCTGGGGCTGGGGCTGGTCGCTGTGTCGCTCTCGGGTCTGCCTGCCAGCAAAAATATCCATCCAGTTTCAAAAGTTTAAAAAATAGAAGGAACGATTTCCTGAGGAAATGGAAATGTTAAACACTTGGAAGTGAAACCATATGCTTAAGATGATGAAGTGTAACTAAAACAGCTCTGAGAGCGATATCTTTGGTAGTCAGACCCTCCTGCTTCAGTGGAATCCTGTTTAACACCTGCAAAGTCACCCAAAACATGGGTGAAAAGCTGGGTGGGTCAAAGCCCTGGGAAAGCAGACACTTCTCACTGACGCCAAACTCTTTATTTAGAAAATATCACTGGCAAACAACGTGCACATGCAAGTGAGTTCTTTATCTTTCTGACAGAGTAACAACACAGATTAATATAGAAAAAGTATTACACAAAATGCCGTCATAAACATTCATAAGATAAATAAAGATAAATGGTGTTTATTCTAAATTCTAATGATTCATTTCCCCCTTCACCTCATAGCTTATGTATTGAAATACTAATTTCTTAGAGCACCCAGCACTGAGAACATACCAAAATAGTTACACCTGCCCAGAATACTCCATCACCATTCAAAGCCTATGGCCAGATCCGTTCCCCAACAGATACCTTGGAAAGGTTCAGAAAAAGATCTGAGCACGTGCCTAGGACAAATAATCCTATTAATAAAATTTCATACTGATCAAATATATCACTGATGAAGTGAAAAACACCACACAAGGTGTGCTCATGACAAAATCCCTGACTTTCAATTAAAAGGGGGGAAAATCTAATATTTGAATTAGATAAAAACCACCCTGTGTCTTGTGAAGATTTTTTGTCTTAATTTCCCATTTAAATAACTTGCATTTTTTGGCTGGCTCAAAGTACCACCTTAGCCATTTTGGAGATAAACAGTGGTCTGCAGAGAGACCAGGTGCCCCCTCCTCTTTCACATCTGCAGTATACTTGTGGGTCTTGATGGGTCAGTGCTGAGCTACAAAACTGGGTGATGACTCTTGGCTGAAAACCAGTCTTTTCTGATATTCAGTGTAAACTGCAGGTGTCTAAGTGAGACTGCTATAAAAAGTTGCACTTCTGCAACTCATTCTGAAGGGCTGCTAATCCAACCCCTGCAGTCAGCTGGTGAGGCTTCCTCCTGCACACGTCTGTGGGGAGGGATGAGCTCAGTTTAAATCCCACTTTTCTGGCCTACAGGAGCCAGGAACATCTTTTTGGCTTTTTAGCCATTGCTGGTGTGGCCGATGATTGTACTTCTGCACTATCTATTAAGTAGCATTTTATTTTCCAACACACTGGAATCCCAAGAGAAGATATTTCAAAGAAATGCATGGAGAATGGCCAAGAAGACAAGGCACCATGCTGCTGCACGGGAACATTTGGTCTCTCCATCCTTCTCTGCTATCTTTGGCATTAAATCAGCCTGGAAGAAAACTAAGATTCAAGTGCAAAGTAATTCTGCTGCCTAAAAAAAAAACCACCCAGAAAACAACAACAACAAAACCCCACAAGCAAACCAAACAAATCCTCTTTTACATCTGGAAACCCCAAAGAGGATCTAGGAAGACTTAATTGTTCACTTCCTGCTCATGCTCAATGACCCAAGACAAGAACTCATCTTCCCCCTCACTATTTTCTTTCTTTAAGGTGAATCAAAGTCCTCTAGATGTTGTTCCAAGTCTATTATTTGTCTGCTGCTCTCTTCCTCTCACCTGCTTTGGTGCAGAACACCAGAAGCCACACCAAATTAATGGAAGAAGAAAGCATTTGAGTACGAATTCAGGCTGGACAACAGAAGCAGCATCAGAGCCTGAGGGGCCAGCAGTCAGTTCCCAAGACTGCTGGCACACCAAAAGAAAAACTCTCTTTTTCCAAGGGGCTGATGCCTGTCAAAGTGGTTCCCACCATTCCCGGGATGGATGGAAACCTCAGCTAGAGATGTCCCAGAATTTACGCCTCCCTCCTCAATCAACTCAGGGGGAATGGTGCTAAAAGAGATCTTAACCAGCTCAGCCCAAATCTAAAACCACTTCTGGGGTTTTTTGCCCATCTCTGCCTTCTTCATGTAAGCTCCCT